AAAAAAAAAAAAAAAATAGAAGTATAGCTTTCGGGCAGTTAATTACTAATTTTTTTTTGAGACAGGGTCTCTCTATGCAGTTCAGGTAGGCCTTGAACTCACTTCGTAGCCCAGGGTGGCCTCAAACTCAAGTCAATCCTTCTGCCTCAGCCTCCCAAGTGCTGGGATTACAGGCATGCACCACCATACCCAGTAATTACTAGTTTTTTAATTAAGAAATATTTTACATGTATAGAAAATAAAAGGAAAATGTAAGACACCTATGCATCAACCACCCAGTTCTGCCTATTGTTAATAGGGGCACTTACTAATTCTCATATATAATCATAATAGGACATGATCACTTATATTGTTGTAAGTGAATTTGTTTATTTCTTTGGTTTTACCAAGTGATTGCTTTATTCAAATTATCCCAGGGCCACAGCTAAACTAGAGGAACAATAACACTTGAGGCCTAAAAGTAAAATATTTTCCTAATTTGATGCTAATCAATGGACTTTCAAGTGGGCAACCTTCAAAATCACCCAAGCTTTCTACAAATGTGTAGATGCCTTTATCAGCTTCTCTTATCATCACTTGCTTCTCCTATTATAATTACATAGCAAAAACTATATTCAGAATTGTCTGGAAAAATAGTTCATGAAAGCATCATGTAAAGATAACTGGTAGAATAGTCACAATTCATTAATTTTCTTTATGCATCAAGACACCAAATTAGCATCTACTAATTGCACAATTGTATTCTGTAGGTTTCCTCTGGCTTTTTTTTTTCTTTTTAGACAGGGTCTCGCTATGTATTCCAGGCTGATCTTGAACTCACAGCAATGTGCCTGCCTCAGTCCTCCCAGTACTGGGATTACAGGCATGCTCCACCATTTCTGGCTTCTTCTAGTTTCTATACTGAAGCCAAAATGCTTAATTATAATTTATTTTCTCATGAAAACAAACAAGCCCTGCCTTAGAAGCTTTACATGGATGTGTACTGAACGTTCTGTTTTCACTTTTCTATTTCTGGCTCTTGTCACTGAAAATTAATTTCCTCTGTACACCTTTTTAATTAGTCTGTTTTCAGAACTTTAGTCACCTCCTCTGTTACTCTCCTATAACACAATGTCACCTCTAATCACATAATTATATTTTTTTCCCACATGCTTGCTTTACATGGCAACTGCTTATGGACATCAAAGATGGCGGGGTGGGGGGGCGTTTACAATAAACCACAGCATGAGATGTTAGAGAATTTTCTCCCCTATTTTCAGAAGTTTGTACAAATACATATACCGGAGGGACAGTGGTGGAAGGTGTTTCTGGAATGGAACTGACCACCAAGGTGGGAGCAGCTACAGGGTCTGGAGCTGTGCCGGGATTTGGAGCAGCAGCTGCACTAGGCCCCTGTCCCCTGGGGCATCTGGGACTTGAAACTATGAGAACAAGACATTCCACCAGGGGAACCCTGAAGGACTATGCAGAGGGGGCCATAAACATGAATTTCCTAGATTCCTACTTTTCCCAGGTGAGTGAATGGCAATCTTTGTGGGTTTGTTATCTTATTTACATTAGAGATCTTTTTATTTGATTACAAACTTCAGTTTTGTAGTTCATTTTTCACAGCGTATTAAAATATATGGGACAAAAAACAGGTTTCCTTTTGCCAAAATAATAGAGATAACTTCAGGTGGCTGTCAAATTTGGGTCACTGTTCAAACTGAATGGGGAATTAGCCCCAAAGGAAGAAAATACAGCAGGTGGCTGGCCCTTCATTCTTCCAACTAGGAAAATAACTGAAGGCAAAATCTTTTGTATTTTGAAATCAGCAGCGGCCTTTTTAAGAATACAAAGCAATTATTTTGTATTTCCTACACCATAAAGCATGTCAAAACCCATGTGCATGTATTTTCCTAAGAGATATTCTTTGCATTTTCAAGGGAGTCCATAAAAAAAAAAAACAAGAATCACTAAATAAATGACCCAAAAATAAAGGGAAAAGGGGGGATGGAATGGACCAGTGATGAGTGGAATGAAATTTCAGGAAACAGATCAGAAAAGGGACAAAGGTATCAGATCAGAGAAGACTTTGGGAGGCAGGTTGTTTCCCTCTGATTTGGTGACCAAAGATAAGTGAAATAAGATGAATATTCAGAAGGGCCTCGCCTAGGGTTGTTAGCAGGTTTTGGTGTGCTGGAGTCTCCTTCTAGAGGTGGTTGTTATAAACATGGAACCACTTGCTGGAGACAGACAGGCTTTTGCGAGGAAAAGAAAAGCTTATTCCAGTGAATAGTCTAAAATGGAGGATAGATTCTAGCAGCTAGCTGTTAAAAGCTGAGTTTATTACATCTGTGTGTGGATGGGGTGACATTAAGAGGGAGAAATAGCAGCAGCTAGCTGGGAGAGCTTTCATCCGTGGGTGGATGGGCTAATATTGAGACGGAGACATTAACAGCTATCTGGGAAAGGAATTAGGCCTATATTTGTATTGAAGGGGCTAAGGAATCTGGGGTGAAATGTTTATGATTGAGTCCAAAGACAGTCAGCACAGGTGTGTAAACAATCACTGGACTTTTCAGCGCCGGGAAGATTATCTTTTGTTTACTGAGAAATAGCCTGTTGTTTGCTGAAAGCAGCCTGTTTGTTTTGTCCTGTTTGTTTGTGAAGGGCTCACTTATGTCAGGCATGACAGTGGTTTCTAGATTCTTTTGGTCCTGAACAAAGAATTGGTCAAGACAACCCCAAAGTTTTACATTTATTAAAGGTAGAAAAAAACAGGCTCTGAAGAGCAATTTGGGCCAAGTAAAAGTAGGAAAATAAGTACACTATAAGGACGAGAGCAGGCCACCCTGAAAGAACACAGCAGCAAAAGCTCAATGTCCACCATCTTTTAGATTTCCCCTCCTCAAGCTGACATCAGGTCTAGGCCATCCTGTCAAAAACCTGCTTGAGTTCTCCTGAGAAGTCCACACACAGGCTTTGGGGACTGTTCTGCACATGTGTCCTGGGATTTTGTAAATAACAGGTCACACCTACTTCTCCAGCCAGTCTTCCATGGCCTAATCTCCTGCTTCAGTTGAGTTAGTGTCTGAGAATTTCAAGGCTGAAACTATAGTTCAGTCAAGATTGGCATGAAGGTGCTTATCTGGCTTGAAGACTCGGGATATTCCAAGGTGCAGTGTGAGACCTAATTATGGGTCAGGGTCCCACAAGGAATGTAGAATCTACACAGAGCCCCTAAACAGAGAGAGTGCTGTTTCAGACCCTGCACAGTGGGAGACCTTCCCCACTCTGATCCCCCAACACAAAAACATATTAACACAAGTATACACAGAGAACCTCACAGTTAGTCCAGGCATCATTCACATTTGCTGTGTGGACCTAAATCCATGCAAAATCAAGAGACCCAGGCCACTCTCAATTTTGATGGAATGTCAACCACACTATTGTCCAGATCACAGATAATTTTTAGAACAAGATTTCTTCTTAGATTGTTCGTATAAAGAGTATTTCTTTACTTCTGTGGATTACCTAATTTGGCCATTCATAATGAAATGAATGCTATTATCAGTATTAAATTGCTCAGTAATCTTTTTTTTTTTTGGTACCAGGGATCGAACTCAGGTCCTTGCACTTGCACAGCAGACGGTGAAACCACTGAGCTAAATCCCCGGCCCAGTAATCTTTTTAAAAAATTTGCTCTTTTCTATTTTCTCTCCATCTTTAGAAAGCATTTGTCTGTGCAGAGGAAGAGGGTATCCAAGAAGCAAATGACTGCTTGCTGATCTATGATAACGAAGGCACAGATGATGCTCCTGATTCTCCCGTGGGATCCCTGGATTGCTGTAGTTTTATTGTTGATGACCTGGATGACAGCTTCTTGGACTCACTTGGCCCCAAGTTTAAAAAACTTGCAGAGATAACCCTTGGTATTGATGAGGAAGCCAAACAAGCTCATTCACCCCCTCAATACAGTGGTCCTGGGATTGACCACAAGAGTCAATCTTGTGGTAGACTCCAAAGGATTGACCACAAGGGTCAACCTTGTGATCAGCCTCAAGGGATTGAGCCTTGTGGTCAATCCCTTGGAGTGGACTCCTGTAGTCGACTCATAGAAGTCCAGCAGTCAGGACTTGAGAGGTACCAGACTTTGTCTGGCAGTCAAGAACCTCATGCTTTGTCTACCTATGGGTCGCTCCAGCCAGCCATTCCCATACCCGACCCTCTGCAGCATAGTAACTATTTGGTAACAGAGTCTTACTCAGCTTCAAGTTCCTTTATGCAACCTACCACTGCAGTCTTTGATCCACTTCTCACACGAAATGTAACAATGACAGAAAGGGTGATTTGTCCCCTTTCCAATATCCCCAGTTCCACAGACCCACAAGGGTCATGCAATATGCTTTGTACTGAAGATACTTGTTCCCGTCAGTGACCAGAATGAACAAAAATAACATTCTGGCCAATAATTTGGACAAAATTATTTAAAATAACATAGCAAAGCTCACTGTTTTGGCCTATTATGACATTTATTATATACTCTCATAAATTAACCATGATCACAGATTAAATATTCTGGTTCATACAACAAACGTGGATATGTTCTCACTCTTAATTCTCTAATATTTTTCAAATTACAGTAAACTTTTACCTTTTTTAAAAAAAAATCTTTTTTAAAAATTGTATTGTGTGGGAAATTTTTCTAAACATTTTTAAACTTCTGTGCTTTTAGTGCCAAAGGAAAGTTCTTATCACTTTAAGATGCAATGTGGTTTAGTGGATGAAGCACTTGGAGTCAAAAATTCTAGTTCTTGTCTCCACCACTTTTTCTTGTGTCTTTAATAATGATACAAGAATATCATTAATAATTACTTCAGAATCACAAAATATTTGCTAATGCATTTTAAACTGCTTGGGGAAAAGTTGTGTTTTCCCATCTTCTTGACCCTGGTACATCCTTTCTCAAGCTAAGGGCCATGGGCTTGTGTATCAAACTTGCTATGTCTGTATCCCATTTATGCTCAGAAGAAGACAATTTTGAAATAGAAATAATCATAGGCCATTTATGAAAATGTATTATGCTGTAAATAATATTTTGTGCATTTTTAATCCTCAAAAGGATCTATCCAATGAAAATACACTGAAGCTCCACTCTGTATGTCTCAGTAGCAAATCCTGTGTTAGTGTTTGTAAAAGTAGCTCAGTACTTTTTAAGTGTTAGTGGGTAAGCATAAATTACATATGCCAGGCAGTAAGGTTTATTAATATCTATAGACTTTGTGGGACAAAATATAGCTTTTCTTATAAGCAAAAGCAACTATAGACTAGAATAGCACATGGTGAAATCTGTAAATATGTATTACAAGCAGCATTTCAGGAAAATAGTTGGAAAGTAATTTTTAAGTCAAAAAGGGATACCAAAATGTGATTATTAAACTGTTTTCTCAGCCTTTGATTCTAAATTAAACTGCAATAGCAATTCAATGCTTGAATGTAAGAATGTTAGGTTAGTGAAAGTTTAGAGTTTATTTTGTGCAGGTTACCCTAATGGCAATGCAGCTCTTCAAGTCATTTCTGGTCATTCAAGATGTTCGCCCTTTAGCCCACAGAGAATGCCCTACCTCACTGCTCCCTGACATTATTGTCTTAGCTGAGTCTTTACTAAGTCATTGTTCAGTTCCATTATTTCTAATGGTATATCAAATACAAAGTTTTAAATTTCCTTGGGTTTCTTTTTTTGCCATAATAAAAACTGAAATACATTTTTCTAGATAGATTGCAAACTAATCGAGTGTTTATGTCTTTAACCTAGAAAGGTACAAGTCTGAGGATGCCCAGAAGGAAGCAACTGCCTAAATATGGCTTTCCTGGTGCGTGGCTCTCCCTGGCACCATGATGCCCGGAAGGCCAGCCCTGAAAGCACTGGTGGCCCGAGCCTCCTGACAAGGGTGCCTCAAGGCTTTCCATGTGCCCCTCTCAGGGTGAGAGGAGCCAGACCCCTGGAGCAGGCTACTGAGTGACTGTTGATGCCAATCCTGTTTCCTGTTTCTCAGTAGACAGCCCGATCTGGGGTCTAAAGCACACACACGTTGATTTGCACCTCTGTTTATGCATGAGGGTTAAGTTAATAATCATAATAGCCTTTATTTAAAATTCAAAGGTATATTTAGGATCCTCAAAGCATTTTAGCTTTGCTTCTTAAAACCAATTTATGAAACAAGAATTTAGCTATGTTATTAAAGGGCTGGGGAAGCCAGGTCATAATAGTAAAGGTTATATTAGAGAAAAACTGCAATTAAATATGTTTTTAATTTTTTTAAAAAAATGGTGTTTAAGGTGACCTAAAAATTAATTTTCTATGTAAAATGTGTCTGCATTTTTTTCATCAAAAATAAAGGTTGTTTGGAACAGAAAAAAAATTTAACCATTCTTTGGCTTTATTTTAAAATACATATATTAAACATAAACAATGTAACACTGTCATAATAAAACTCTTTAGCAATAAATGCATGAGTACGTCCCTGAATATTTCATAAAGCTGAACTCTCTATAATGAATAGGTATTAGTAAACATGGTATAAAATATTTGCATATGAATTTTAACAGTACTTACAATGTTTCTTTTTTTCTAGCTGGAACCTTCTCTGCATCTTCCCAGTCAGGAGGGAAATATCTGGGGGTTCAGTATCACTTTGGGTGCATGAGGGGCTGGATGAGGTCAGGGCAGAAAGCCTTTACTACCTGGTTGCTTTGTGTCATTTCTTGTTTATTTGATATGTAGGAATAGGCTCCCAAGCAAAAGTTGGGACATTCTATGAAAACTCAAAGAGCAGAGTTGGAGTAAAGAGAAGGTAATGTTTCCAGTCTACTCTGATGGGAAACTGTAGCCCGGCCTGGTGAAAGTCCCTTGCCCCAGTGGTGGACTGGTCTCTCAATATCCACCTCTACCTTTATGTCCCCCTCTAAGGGATGCCACAGAATGAATCCCCCAGAACTCGCTTATGTCTACCTTCCTCCTCCTTAAATCTGTACAGTGAGGTCAGGATATGGGGAGAAAAACCTGGATTAAAGTGAATATTGAGTGGAGAATGGTGGATAACATAGTGTTCCCGGTCAATTCCAAACAGTGAAAGTCATATAGTTAAATTTAGTTAAATTTCAATAACATTAACAAACTCCTTGCCATAGGAGGTTCAAGGAATAAAAATGGCAAAATGGGTTTATCTTAATCTGAAGACCTCAAAGATCAGGTAAGAGCGGAAAGGGACCACATTAACTGACTAGCGTGAAGAAACAGTAAAAGTTCAGGATCCTTCTTGCTCTTGCCAGTTCAGTGCTTTCTGGTCTACAGAGAAGAATTCTGCTTCGGAGATGATAAGGTTTAACACTTGTTCAGTAACACAGTCTGAGATGATTTTATGGAAGGGAGGAACTGATGAGAAAAGAACACAAACCATCATTTAAATTCCAGGTGCCAGAATCCACAAGTTTTCCTCAATGAATACTGAGAGTCCTGCTTTGCCGGGTCCAGAATGGGCTGAGATTTCTTCCATGGCCAAGATATCAGCTATTTTCCGGTTGGTGTCTTTATTTTTCTCTTATACATTGATATTTTTTACAAATGTAAAAACAGAAAGTCTAGACACAATACTGATTTGGTTAAAACTAAAGAGAATCATGTCTAAAAACAAAGTGTAAATTGATGTAGTTACCATAACAGGAAGATGAGAGGCACCCACGCACAAGTGGAAGGTCCTGAGTTCGATTCCTGGTACTGGAAAAAAAGACAGAGTATGGTCACAAAAGAAAGACGCAGAAAAGAGAAGTAACCTCCTCCAGTTACATAATACAGTGACACAAATATAAAAGTATATCTATAGTGGTCCAGCAATAGTAACCATTATTCGCTCAGAATAATCTGTTCACTTTCAGGTCAAAGCACATGAAAAATTAGAGCCAATATGAAGAAAACAATGAAAATTCTAAAAAGAGTTACAAATCTAGATATTAATTCTAAAGATTAAAGAAGCAGGGTGCTATTAGCATATACATATATAAATATTTTTTATATAAATATATGAGAAGAGAGAGACAAAATATGATAATGGAGATAGGTAGGCAATGCTAATACTAAAGACAAGAATTTAAATTGCAGAAACAAGCATTTAAGCTGAACTTAAATTTCAGTTTCTATTACGAAAGAAGTTATAAGCACTGAAATAAGCTACCTGGAAGTCACACAATCTTTTCCAGTAAACTTTCAAGAATTATTTGCAAGTTAGTAGGACACTATTTAGAAGACATACTATGAAATAAATCTAGGTGTAAAAATTATGAGCATAAATGGGTCCTTCCAACAGTGTTTCCATGATTTGTGGAAAAGGATATATTTTAATAACTACAACTTTCTTACCCCTTGAAGTCATCTCCATTTCTACTTTTATTCCAACAAAGTATGTGGCACCATAATATTTTCAGTTTTATGCCTTGGAACACTTCTGATGGTTTCTATGTGCTAAATTCATCATTATTCACTTAGCAAACAGTGAATTTTGGTGACAACACAGAGCAACGGATAATGATAACTTCAAAAAAAACACTGATAGCGAATGACTATGTATATCATTTCCATAGAGGACAGAAGTATTCATATTCTTTCAGAATCAAAGAGAACTGCAATGAACTTTCTTAATTATAAAGCAGAAAAGAATCAAGTAATCTTATATTTATGTAAATGGCATAATGACATGGTTTCACTCCTCTGAAGAGACACTGTTACTAAACCTAAAATGAACACTGAGACACAAAATTTGAGATTAACTTCAGTTGTATCTTCCTATGTCCAAGTGACTAGAACTGAAATAAGACTGAGATGGTCTATCCTAGTCACTTTCCCTTCGCTGGGACCAAATACTTGACGCCCACAAGTTAAAGGAGGACAGGTTCCTTTTGGCTCAGTTTCAGTCCATGGTCAGCTGGCTCCAATCAGAAACAGCACGGTGGCAGGGCAGAGTGGAGGAAAGCTGCTCAATCCATGGAAGCCAGGAAGCAGAGAGGAAGGGAGAAGCCAGGTTTGACAGTAGTATGTCCTTCCAAGTCATAAACCTATTGACCCACCCCTTCCAACCTGGCCCACTCTGAACATTTGGGGGACATTTTAGGTCTAAACCATAAAATGGTCCACCCCCAAGACAAAACACAGGTTTACACACACATTTACACACACACACTCACACACACACACACACTGTCTCAGGTAACCTCATAGCTTCGTACAGCTGAAGTAGTATCTTTCCACTATTAAAATCTATGGACCAGACACTACTGCTCAGTGTGTGTCATGGAGGCAAAGTTTTGGCATCCAAGGAATCTGCTCTCTGGTTTTACTAATTTTAAAAAATCACCTTAGATTTTTCTACCTAACTTTATTTACATAAGATATAATGCAGAGGCCTAATTTCATTAGACTTGATTCTTGCTGAGGGCAAACATCCCCAAGCTGTTGATTAGTTGAAAATGTGTAATCAGTAGGGCACAGCTGCCTGTGTCTGTAACCCCAGCTACTCAGGAAGCTGAGGCAGGAGGACTGCAAGTTCAAGGTCACCCGGGGGTGGGTAGAGTGGTAGATGCTTGCCTAGTATTGTGAGACCCTGGGATTAATCCATAGTGCTATACCACACACACAGTGTAAAATCAACACTCCATCGCTTTTTTTTTTCTTAGATTCTTTTATTGGTACATTCTAGGTACACAACACATTTACATTTATCATTGGGTACTTGTACCTGTACATGATGTATCTCGGTTCTTGTTTTTTCCCCCATTTCCTGTCCTCCCTTCACCCCCTCCACCCCTCCCTGTTTACAAAGACTTTGTTTCTATTTCTTCCTTTTCTCATATTTTTTCCTTTCCCTTCTTTCCTTTCCCCTACCCCTCCCACTTCGCCTACCCCTCTGGACCTATTCTTCCTATTTCCCATTATCAATTATTCATTTTAATCATTGTTTACACTTTCAGTTTCTCACACGAGAGAAATTATTCGGTATTTACACGTGTCCTATTTATTTCACATAAGAGTATGGCCTCAACATTCATCCATTTAGCTATAAATGTCTCTAGTTTCTCATTCTTTATGGCTGAGTAGTACTGTATTTTACAAAAAAAGACACATCTTCTTTATCCAGTTTCCAGTTAATGGGCACTTGGGCTGTTTCCAAGCTTTAGCTATTACAAACTATGCTGCTATAAACATGGTTGCACATATATCACTGTGGTATGATTCTTTTAGTTCTTTTGGGACGATACCCAGCAGGGGAATAGCTCAGTCAAATGGGACCTCTACTACTAGTTCTTTGGGGTATCTCCATACTGATTTCCACAGTGGTTGCACCAGTCTGCACCCCCACCAACAATGGAGAAGGGTTTCTTTCTCCCCACAACCCCGCCAACATTTGTAATTGGTTGATTTCTTGATAGCAGTCATTCTTTCTGGGGTGAGATGGAATCTCAGTGTTGTTTTCATCTGAATCTCTCCAATGACCAGTGATATTAAACATTTTTTCATATGTTTATTTGCTGCTTTTACTTCTTTGTCTGAGAAATGTCTGTTCATTTCAGATCCCCATTTTTGAATTGGTTCTTTAAATTTGGGAGGTCTTATTTTTTTAAGTTCTTTGTACATTCTAGATAGTAGTCTTTCGTCTGAGGTACAGCTGCTAAAATTTTTTTCCCATATTATTGGTTGTCTCTTAGCTCTGTTGGTGGTTTCTCTTGCACTCCAGAAGCTTTTTAATAAGATGAGATCCCAGTTGTTGATTCTTTGTGCTAGTTCCTGTGCTACTGAGGTTTTATTCATAAAGTCTTTTCCTATGCTAATGTCTTCAAGAGTTCTACCTAATTTATCTTCCATCAAGTTTAGTGTTTCTGTTTTAATATTTAGATCTTCAATCCACTGTGATCTTAGCTTAGTGCATGGTGATAAATACGGGTCTAGTTTTAATCTTTGGCAGGTTGAAATCCAGTTTTTCCAACACCACTTATTAAAGAGGCTATCTTTCTTCCAGTGAGGATGGTTGGCTCCTCTGTCAAAGATGAGTTGGCTGAGTATGTCTGAAGTTGTTTCTGGATCTTCTAATCTATTTCACTGATCCTCAGGTCTGTTTCTTTGCCAGTACAATGCTGCTTTTATCACAGTAGCTTTGTAGTATAGTTTCAAGTTGGGAATTGTGATACTCTGTACCTTGTCTTTGTTGCCTAGAATTGCTTTTGCTATTCTGGGTCTCTTCCAGTTCTACATGAATTTTTGGATTGTTTTCTCTAGTTATGTGAAATATATTTTTGGAATTTCAATCAGCATTGCATAGAATCTATATAGTAGTTTTGGAAGTATGG